GTGTTTATGACCTTTCAACATCCAGCTAACAAGAATGCCTATCCTACATGTTGAACACTTCCATAAGTTTATAAAATTACTATAACAAGTCTGAATAAAGATATATTCTTAATTAGTTATGGAAGAGTAAATTCAAGACTATGTCAGTCATTACAATCTCCACCCTGTAGTATGTAAGCATATCAAGCATTTTCTGTCATCTTGTTTCAAAATCGGAAGTTTTCAAAAATGTTTGTCTGTTCTCTGTTTCTGCACAATTTGCACATAACCTGTGGTCAAGAAAATCAACAAGTTTTTCATTCTTGTTACCTTTGTTCAGTATCACCCCCTTGAAATAACACCTGGTCTCCCCATGGGGAAGTTTAGCTGTACAATTACACCTTGCATATGGAACTACACAGCAGTATGCTCCAATGGTAATTAAGATATCCTAAGCTTACAACCCCCCAAATGGGAATGACCAGTCATGTGTGTAACTCTATTCACTCTTGGAAAAAATGATCTATAGATTTTAACTACATAGCATGATGTTTTCTTAGACTGGAACAGAATATTTGCAGAATTTATAAATCGTGACCCAAAATCTATGAAGTAAAGGTGATCATCCTTTATGTTGAAATGATTTAGATAAGAGATTCAAATATATGACTGTTGGAAAAAAACCTCAAAACCATCAGCAGAGTATTAATCTAGATTAAAAAAACTAACAGAATTCTGGGATATCTTTAGGAAATTTTGAACTTCTGGGTTAGACAATTACCATTATAAGTAGAGCTTGGTGATTAGTGGTGTTTGCTAATGGATTAATTGATGGATTCATTTATTAATTATATTCAATTAGTACAGGATATGCATTCCTCCCAAACAGAGTGGTGACCATCGAAGAACAAGAAGAAAAGAAATGACAAACAAACAGTAGTGCACCAGCTTCTAAAGGTTGAGAACTATTACATTTTTCTAACATAATAAGTTGGCAAACAATGATTTATAAGCATAAGTGATTAATTGTGGAACATACTAAATGTTTTGACAGAGCAGACCAATGTTCTCTTAAAATGTGTAGTATGTTCCCCATATGCTTATAAATTGTTATTTGCCAACTTATTACTATATTAGTAAAATTTGCTTCCTTACTCAAGTAAATTATTGTAACATAATATTAACCTTACTATTTTTTAAAGTAATCTTTGAATTATCCTTCCTTTTATATGATAAACATTTACTGTAGATCATCATTTGAGCGATTTCATTCATGCGATTTCTTTGTTTCATACTTTATATATGTGTTTGTGTGTGTATATATATATATATATATATATATATGTGCACACACATATATACATTCTTGTGTCTCGGCATACAATGACAAAACTATCTCCAAGCATTGTACATTTATTATTGTGCTAAACCTATAATAATTTTCTTTCTTACCCATTCACCCGATCTCTAAACTGCATAAGTTTATCTTATCTCTAGTTAACTGATGCTTTCTCATTGAAAAAAATTCTGCAGCTTTCAAACAGATATACTTTAACAAATAAATATTTGCAGAATTCACAAACAAAAAGAACATTTACAAAATCTATAAAATACTCTTAAACCTTTGTATTTATGATGCAATAGTCTAATTCTTGCTCTATCCAACCTTATTTAAATTTTCCTTTTAGCTGTTTTTCATTAGTAAGTAATCAAACCATATGATGTAGCATGTCAACCAAGGGCTACACAAAAATTAAAGGAAACACTTGAAAATCAAGAAACAGATAATACAATCTAAAGGTGTGAAAAAGTTATTAGCAAAAATAGTTATTTACTTTTTCCTAGGGGAAAGGATTAAAACAATTCTAAAAAAAAACCAATAAGAAGTGCATTGTTTATAGACAAAACTCTTCTCAGTAGTCCTGAAAAGAACAAATCAACTTTTTTTTTTATTTTATTTCATGAATTACAATAATTAAATGTCAGAAAATAAAATTTCTAAAACATTTTTCAGTTTAAATACAGTTAGAATTAACATATGAAACTGTCCTTAAAATTCATCTCAAAAACCATTTAGCAAAAGTGATGGAAAAACAAGAAAGACCAAAGGAAACCCTGTCTTCAGACTTCAGGTACAATAACTTAAATTTATGTTACTTTTTAAATCCTAAATTGTTGTGTGTGAAAATTCAAAATACACATAAATTGCCCAAAGTAGTATAAAGCCAGTAAAAATCTGGAAATACCACTAACAGTGTTACGTGGGTTTCTCCCTACAAACATCCAGAATACTACTACTCAACTAAAATTACTGAATTTTTGATGATAAAAATAAACACTCTTCCTAACATTGATTATAAGTCAGAATAAATGTTAAGTATAATAGTGACTAGTGGAATTGTAGTAGGTACAAGTTAAATCAAGTTACTTAATTCTTGGGATCAATATTATTGTTGTACATATACAATTATACCAAGCTGACCAATCACATGATGGTGAACAGAATTTACACAGCTACATTTAAGCAATCAAACAGGTGCATACTGTAGATGTGTCTTCAGTATATTTAGAAGCATTGAGAGCCAGAATAGGCCCTGGGACAATCATCCTTGTCAGGCCCCCTTTCTTGTCTTTTTTTATCATTTTTAAGAAGTTATTAAAAAGAAGATCCTAAATTAGGACAGCAATGAACTCATAAACAAGGCAAGATCATAGCAGCAGCTGTTTTTAGCTCACAGTATAAGCATAAAAACGTTAACAAAATAACAAATATATATATATTAATAATTACTCAAATTATTATTTCAATCATTCTTAATGGAAGTGAGACACCCATCAATGTGTGGATCTAATGCAGATTGTCAACTATGGTAGGAGGAAGGGTAATAAGAGTCTGCAAAGGATCCCGTGCAAGATTCCACTGAACAGCTTGCATGTGAGCATGACCTAAGGAGATAAGTGCGGCCATAGAAGACCACATCCCCCAAAGTGATAGTACCTTGCGACTGTAATAGAGAGAGCAGTAAGAACTGGTGAACTGAAAACTCCATCAAATGAAGTCAAAGAGGAGAAAGATATCTAATAGGTTGAAGGAAAAACTGATAAGTCACCCCTCGATGGACAAACCGAAGATATGGTCACGACTGCCAAGCTATTGGGATATGTAAGTAAGCATTCACAACATCCATCTTGCTCATCCATAAACCTGGAGAAAAAGCCCATCTGAGGGGGAGAAATTATTAAATGGTAAAATGAGGAGATTGAGAAATTGATTGAGGCGGGACAAATCTATGACAAGCTGCCAGTCTCTGGTTTTCTTGGGAACAAACAGCCTTGGATAAAAACCTGGAGAAAGATGATTCACAGGTTCAATGGCTTGTTGAAACAGAAGGTCTTGAACTGCCTCTGATAGACCCTGGCTGGTAATGGAATCTCGAGGCAGAGGAGGTGGGAAAAGAATCTTAGGACAAGTCCATCTCATAGAACCCGAATAACCCACTCATCTGGTATGAATGATTGTCAAAAAGGAACAAATTCACACAATCGAGCTCTACTGGCCTGGAACCCACCAGGTAGTTACTGTTGGCATCGTGCTGATGTACGTCGAAGAAAACGATGAGATAAGGAACCCCTGGAGGAAGGGACAGGTAAGGGCTGAGAAGGATTAGGACAGGAAATGGGAATAGGTGTTTGTCCTGGTTTCAACTGCAACAAACAAGCTACAAAAGAAGAAAGGGTAGAGTGTTGATGCAGGGATTCCACACGTGATTCCAAAGTGTCAGGAACATGGTCGAATACATACCACCAAAAAAAAAGGAGCTATGCATATTTCCAATTCCTGGAGATAAGAGAAAATTGAGAAGCAAAATGCTCAGCAAACATCCTAATATTCAGGGAAAGTGGGAAAACTAAATGAGGAGAAGAACTATCGTGCAACAAAGGAGGGTGGGGATCATGGGAAATCAGGGAAAGGCATAAAACATCATATACCTGAGAAATCAAGTCTAACAATGCCATATTAGGCTTAGCTAATTCCACAGATGGGGCATAGGAAGACATGGCAAAATCCAGTGGTGAAAAAAGGCTATCAATATCTTCATCAGACCAAACAGGTTCAGCTTGTTCTTGAGGAAGTGGGGCAAGTTCAGGAGAAGGTGGTTGACCCATATAACAATCAATCTCTTGGTGAATAATCACAGATAAATCCAAGGATGGGTTACCACCACCTGCTGCCAGTGAAAAAGTGCTTGTAGAGGTGTGATACCCGAACTGGTAACGTTAACCTCGGAATTCTTGTTAAATAAATCAAACAAAGTGTTTGATAGATAAATACATACATGCAAGAGAGAAAATAATAACTGGATAGTGAATTAAAGATAAAAGGCATCAGTTGTATAATCAAAAACGATTAATAAAGAAGAGCACTTCGGAAGTATAACTATTTAAGTTATAAAGAAGAAACACACTAAAGCAAAATTTTAAATGTCTAAACACAAGCACTGCCAAACGACAAGTAATAGTCTGGTAGAATTGAATAGAGGAAGTCACATGTGTAACAAGAGTGTGTAGCACTCTCATTGGTGGAGGGTTGTCATATGATAATTTGCATGAGACATACACTGTAATGAGGCTTTTGACATGAATGAAAAAATGTTTTCCTATAGAGGGCAGCAGTGAGCAAGAATAACAATTTATGTGAGCATACATAATGTACCTTATTGTAAAATATCATATATTCTATTAAAACCACTAAAGCACATTATTATTTAAAACATAACAGTGAAATAAACAGTGTGGTCAACAACAAAAATACTTTAAACATTAAGGTAAAAACATACTGCCATCACTGGTAAATTTTAAATCTAGCAAGATGAAACATCTCTTAGATTAAAACAATCATATCAAGTTTTAGATTCACAGATTTCAAACATAAAATTGAAGTTGAAATTCACAGTACTAGACTTGTAAGAGTTATTGGAATATCAGAACAGGCACACTTGGAATAAAAATTAATAACCTACCCTAAAGAATTCATCCTGAGAGAGAACTACACTTCCAGTGATGGATTTTTGCAACATTGCAGCTAAAGTAGTTTTGCCCCCACAAGTAACACTGTTCAGAAATATATTAGAATTTTTTATTCATAAAATATTTCCTTAATATCAATAAATAACCTATCACCTAAGTTCAAAACACTTTTCAGAATTCAAAACTAAGGTAAGGTTATCTCATATTATTCAATAAACCAAATAACAGCACCAGAATACAAATGAAATGTGTTACTCCCTACTTAATTATATATTACATACACAAAAATATTTTTACAACAATATAGTTTCAAAGCAGAAACATTGTACATGAAAAGTACTGCCAAGAACCTTTTTTCATAAGTACAACAAAACAGTATAAAGTAAAATAGCATCACACAATCAACATAGAACTATGCACAATTATTTTAAATATTTATATCAACTTTACAAGCAGTATAAACACATTTCCAGCTACTATTCCAAATGAATTAAATATTCATTATAAGAAAACAAATGTGAGGGATTACTTGTATTAGTAAACTAAATAAATTTTCGTGTATGTCACCACACGAAATATTCAAATTCCAAATTATATGTTATTTAGCACTGATAAACTTAAAAAAAAGATGGAATAGAGTGGCTCCTTATTGTAGGCATAAATGATCTACTTCCTGTTGGAAATTATATAAATGATAGTCCAGAGGTTTTTAACTAGCAACTGTTATAGGCCACTGAGTCAGATAATTACATGATGTTATTCAGAAATTGTATGAGGAGCTCATGCAAAGCTGTTATTAATAAGAATACTGATACAACAATCATGGAATAACTTAAATTTAGACACATTGATCAAAACCAGGTCTGCAAAATCATGTAGCTCTCATAAAAGAAAATCACCAACATTTCACTAAAGGGAAATCTTTCTGCAATATTATTCTATCATTTTCAAGAATGATAAGTTTCATCTTGATGAAGGAAAGGGTGTGAAATGTACATATTTAGACTTTCCAAAAACTTTGAATAATGTGCCACACAAATGATTAGCTAATCAAATCATATCAGTGGAGGTTGGAAAAGACTAGTAAATGAGACTAGAATGATTAAATGAAATAATGCAAAATGATATTAATTGAAGCCAGTCACACTAAAAACATTATTACAAGTGGAGTGCCTCAGTGATCCTCTGCTTTCATAAATGATAGTGAAAGGAGAATAATTACTAAAGTTTGTGTATTATATTAAACACTTAGGTATTCCTAGCTGTATTGAGAATAATGAGGTAGTACAGAATGACTTGGATCAATTGGTTATTTGGACAAATATTTGGAAAATGGGTTTTAATTATAATAAGTAGATAATGCACTTGGGTTATCATAATTTGTTTCACATATTCAACATAGATGGGACCAGTGTTCCCTCTAAGCTGAACAACAACCAATCAAGTGCCGTGCACTTCATTATTCCAGCCACACACATACTATGTAATGGTGACAAGTCTCAACATGTTAATGGCCTTAATGACCCTGGCAGTTAATACATCTAAAGCCCAAATAACCGACTGGTAGAATTGCAAAGCGGCCTAATGATCCAATAGGGTCGATGGTATAAAAATACCCCATCCTAAAAAAACTGGTAGCACACATTCCCTTGATACTGGTGCACATGAAAAAATTCATTTCACACATGGATTGAAAAAATTAGAGGGAACATTGGATTGGACCCCACAAAACAGTTTTACTGAAGAAAAGGATCCTGGCATAGACACTGGTAAATAAGTCACTCAATATATCAGAGATACTACTGAGACTTACCTGTGAAGATAAAATTATAAGTGTGTCATTAAGGTTTAACAGTAGGCTTAGGCTACTTTGTATGGACAAGTAGAATGGTTAATTGGACTTATTGGATCAGTTTAATTGGAAAAGGGGTTTTTGTGAATGGATGGTTTAAGTTTAAATAGGGTAGGAGCTGGTTTGTTTGCAAGGGTTTTTAACTCAACTGTAAGGGCAGTTTTAAACTAGAACTAGAGGGCCAGAATAAACTAAATGATGAAACAATAAGATGTAGAGAAAGATATAGTGGAGGAACAAAGTACAGAAGTCGTTTTTAAGGGTAGGTTAAACTGTAATTACTGTAATGTTAGAAGCATTGGAAATAGAATAGAAGCCTTCAAGGACTAGTCAGAACAGAAGATTTGGATATAATGGGAATAACCGAAATTTGGTTAAATGTAGAAAACTTTGGTGACAAAAATTTCTTTGAAATACATGGCTATAGGTTATTTAATAGGGATGGAGTACTAAAAACAGAGAGAGGAAAAGCTTCAAATTTAATATGTGAGTTACATCCTGTTGAAGCTGAGGATATCAAAGCTAAATGCAAGGAGGTTGAATCTATTTGGGTTTCTTTCAGTTGTTATAAAGGGAGAAGGCTATTAACTGGAATTTGTTATAGACCACCAAGTGAAACTGAGTGGTGAAATTAATGAGAAACTCTACAGTGAGATAAATAATTCAGTTCATAATGAGGTTATAATTAAAGAGGATTTTAATTTTAGGCATATAGTCTTGGAAATGTTAGTTTCAAATCATGAGAGAGACAGGTTTTTAGGAACCATTCAGGGCATTTTTTTTACACGAATTGGTCAGGGAATATTCTATGCTACATTAATTTATTAATTAAATACAGAAACTGTTGATAGGGTGGAGATTGGGAAACATCTGGGTGCACGTGATCACTGCTTAATTAACTTTGATGTTTTACTCTATACAAAAATCATGATTAATGACATTTTGATTATAAATTTTGAATAGATGTAACAAGAAATATGTGTCATGGATTGGTCATCTGAATTAACTGGAGATACTGACCAAATGTGGAAACATTTTTTAAAGAAATTTCCAAATACAAAGATAAGATAGGTTCTTTTATTGAAACAAAATGGTAGCTGCAAGAAAAAAAAAAAAAACAGGTTAGCTCCAAAATGGTATAAGGGATTAAAGAAGTGCATTATAAATTTAAGAAGTTTAAATTGACTGCAATGATGAGAGACTTATAGAATTATAGAGAATCATGAGAGTTGATAAAATACAAAATTAGGAAACTGGAAGGGGTATAGAAAAAAAAAGGTTAGCTGAAAATGTAAAAATAAACATTAAGGATTTCCTTTAAAATGTTAAGGGTTGGCAAAATATTAGTATGGGAGTAAAGCCTTTGAATAATAATAATTAAAGGAAGACTCATATCTGACAGTTAGGAAATAGCCGAGTTATCAAATTGTACTTTTATTTTATTGTTGCTAATAAAAATTTAGGCAAAATTCCTTATCCTGAACAGTTGCTAGATGGAAATAAGAACAAACAAGATGATCCAGTAATACTGAGCATGTTAAGAAAAAATCTGGAAATTTAAAGAATGATAAAGCTACTAGGCCAGATATTATTTTCCTAAGGGTTTTGAAGGAGGTTAAGGACAGAATATTTGAGCCACTCGATATAATTTTGTGGCAAGTCCGTGAATGGTGAACAGATGCCAGAAGATTAGAAGTTGGCTTATGTTACTCTTCTTTTAAATGGAGGTAATAAAAATAGTCCTGGTACTTATGGGCCTATTAGTCTTACATCAGTGGTGGGAAAAGTTTTCAAAAGTCTGATAAAAGATGATTGGCAAAGTCATTTAATAAATTATAAAGTTTTGTTATGTGGTTTTACTGAGGGAAATCTTCCATTACTAATCTTATGACATTTTTTGAAAAGGTTACTGCTTATGTAGATAAGAGTAAGGGTGTGGATTTGTTATATCTGGACTTTTGAAAGCATTTGATACGATACCACATAAAAGGTTTATTAAAAAAATGATCTCTATAGGTGTAGGAATAAATTGGCTCACCGTAGAGGAAAATGGCCAAGTGGAAGAATGCAGAGAGTTGTTATAAATGGAGTTTAAACAAATTGGATTAATATGACAAATGTGACATCTCAGAGATTGGTATTAAGACCTCTGCTCTTATTTAATTTACGTAAGTGACATAGAGGAAAGAATGGTCAATAAATTAATTACATTCACTAATGGTATGATGGTCTTGAGTATTGCTGGCTGGGAGGAGCATGCTGGTGCTTTACAAAAGGATTTAGATCACTAGATGAGTTGAGCGAATAAATGGCAGATAGCTTTTAATTATAATAAATGCAAGGTAGTACATCGGGATTATCATAATTTGAATTAGAAGTTATTTTGATAGAAATAACAGTCTTAACAATATTATGAAAGCAAAGAAAATTGGTGTTCCGGTTGATCAGTCTTTCAAGCCATCCAAGCAGTGTAGCTCCTTACCTTAGGATGGACAATGAATTGTTGGAAAGAGTTCAGAGGAAGGCTACTAGCATGATACCTGGATTGGAAAATTTATCACACGATAGAAAAAAAAAAGATGAGTCAGAGGGGATCTATCAAATGCCTAATAACTTGTTCTACTGTTTTAAAACATTATGAATACATACTGTAGGATTCTAAACCTGGTGAAACTTTTCTTGCTGTGTTAAAACACTATAAATACATTTTGTTGATTTCTCAACCTAGTATATTTGTTTCACTGTGTTAAAACATTATGCATACATCTTGTTTGCTTCTCTGGTACAACTTGTTTTGTTTGTGTTAAAACACTATTTAAACATGCTGTTTGATTCTAATCTAAGCTTGGAGCAATTTGATTTAATGTAAAAAATTATGAATACATATTGTTGGATTGTAAACTTGATAAAACTTGTCTTATTGTGTTGAAACACTTTTAAATACATCTTATTAACTTCACAACCTGGTAAAATTTGTCTTAGTAAATACAGTAGTTTCTGGTCAAGTTCTAATACTAGTAATAGTAATACCAAGAGTTAATTTTGATTCATAAATTATAATATCAATTTAATTTTAATATCTTCTTAACTCATGGAAACCCCTAACAATTCTATGCTAAGAATGTAGTTTACCTATTTCAGACTTTATTTACACTTATGACATTTTGATGCAAGAGGATTGTTTATGGTTTTGAACAACTAAAAATCACCAAATCCTCTAAGAGACAAATGGTAGGTGGCAACTTTCAAATTCTACCAGTCTTCAAGACGTTTGTGGGTTATGAAAGTTGTCCAGAATATAACCTGTCTTATCCAGACTCTAGAGCAGTACTTCTCAACTGGGTGAATAGTTCACTCAGCGGTTAATGAGTATTATCAATTATACAACAAATTTAAGAGCAAAAAAAAGTCATTAGTTGTCATTATTTATTCTACTTGTAGTTTGGTATATATTCAACTTCTTTTAATTCACAATAAAGAATTTTGCATTTTAATTTAATACTTCTTTGTCTTTTTTTGGAACTGGGGTGAGTGAGCTGTTGTAAAAAAACTTATACTATAGGGTTGAATGATATCATTATTAATATTAAAAATGGTTGGGAAGCACTGCTCCAGAGGATTCAGTCTCCCTAAAACCTACTTCTGAGTTCTAGTTTTAGGCTGTTGGAACTTGGAGTTCATAATTAACCTTATCTCATCATAAAAAACACAACCTAAATCATCAGTTAAATTATTTTAAATTTTAATTCTAACCCTGATATTCCTACTACAATCCAGCCTTTCATCTTCTATTTCAACCTTAAATTCCAACGGTAACATTAACAGTGACCTTAGTTTTTTTTATGGCTGAAGTTAAAGGTCCAAACTTTTTTCCTAAGTCAGTAAATAACACGATAAGATGAATTTCCCACACGTTGAAATGTAAGTCACACAGAAAAAATTCAAAAAGTAGACAACACACTAACAATCTCACATCAAAAGCTAAACATTAGCATCAGTTTTAATTTCTTATTTCTACGCAAGTGTGTGTGTGATAGTTTTGCCTACGTAAAATTAAAAAAGGTAGGCTGTGTAAATGCCCATTCACAATAATTATATGTATTATATATATATCTAAAACTGCAACGCATATTATATGCGAAAACGTAATAAATCTGACTTGGTGATTTCTAGATCATTAAATAAAGATAATCGAATGGCAATCTGAGGGTCGAGAATTCGTATCCCGTCCCCGAACATGCCCGTCCTTTTGGCCTTGGGGTATTATAGTGCACGGTCAATCCCACTTTTCGTGAGTGGTGTTGACAAATTGCCTTCTCTCAAGTCTATCACTCCAAGATTAAGGGCCTATAGCGCAGATAGCCCTCGTGTAGGTTTGCACGAAATTCAAACCAAACGAAAAGAAAAAACGTACAGCAGCTCACACTTGAACTAAATTAAAATATTTTTAAAATATACAAACATTTACTTGACGCCTTAGCCTTGACACCTTACAGCTCTTCACCAAAGGCACAAAACAAATAATATGTTGTGTATCTGGTTGTTTGATAATTTCCGGTAAAAATTACTTCCGAGAAACTTCAGCTATACAAGTCCTTTCTTAATTAAAACTAGTTTATTCTTTCTCGTTACAAACTTTGTAATACACTTAATTTCCACAGTCACTTTAAACTTAAGTACTTTTATAAACACACGCTATAATTCACACACTTTACTTACGGTGCCTACTGCTCGCTTGACTCGATTACCTCTATCTTCAGTCTCTCTCTCTATCTCATTCTACTTTATTTACCGGGCTTATATACTAAAAAAGAGGGCGGCTGGAACAGACTAAAGTTGCCAGAAAAATTCAAGATCCTTCGAGAATCTCATGACGTGTTACCAGTGTTACTATGTGTGCTTGGCATTTTACACCTAGCTGTTGGGACTTTCACGATGGGGGTTGGTGGGCATCCCTCAACACCAACCACTACTGGTTTCCCCGAGGCTGACTTGTTGGTAGTATTTTTCTTCCACTGGCTCCTCATATGTCCTTGCTCTTCACAGTTCCAACAACCTTTCCGGGTAGCAACCTTTCCTGCCATGGCATCTTCCCTGTGTTGAAGTTGCCGGCATTGAGCTCTATTGTGTCCCGGTTTGTTAAAGTACCAGCAAAGTCTCTCAAACTTCTCTGAGAACTGCCATTTTCTGGCCTTGATTCCTGATGACTGTACCAACCTTGGTACCTCTGTGCTGGATTTAACGTAGGATTCGAATTCCAGAGCTCTGGCCATTGCATCCTGCATAGTAGAGGGGTGTGCTTGCTTCACTTGTATCTTAAGTTGTGGACTGTCCAAGGCATCTATGTGTGCCATGCTTTCCAAGTCCTGTGCCAGCTCTTTCAATCTCTCCCCTTTAGCATGGACTCTCATCCTAAACCTAGCCCTGTAGACTTCCGACTGTTTTGGGTTCCGTACCTGAGTTCTAGAGCAGCTACCAGTGCTCTATAGTTGTGCCTGTCGTCTGCTGACAACTGTCTCAAGCTCCTTGCCAGATATACTGCTTTCTGCTCCTCTGTCCATCCATTAATTTCTGCCAGGAGCTCAAATTGTGCTCAATATGCTTCCCATGGTGCCTTCCCATCGAATTCCCGTGGCTT